CCTTCACGGGCCGGCGGCACCGCTACAGCGCGGGCCACCGCCGGCGGCTGCGGGAGGTGCTGGCCCAGCTGCAGGAGGCGACGGCGGCGGCGCGGGCGGCCGTGGCCGACGGGGCCGCGGCCGTGCGGCGCTACGACCCAGCGGAGCACGACGGGCGCGTGTGGTGCCCGTGCTGCGGGCGCGGCGTGCGGCGGGACGGGCGGCGCGGCGGGCTGGCGCTGCCGCACGCCGAGCTGCTGCGGCACTTGGCCGGGTGCGGGGCAGGAGCGGGGCGGGCCGACGCTGCCCGTGCCGGCTTTGGGGCGTGGGCCGGGTGCGGGCGGTGCTGACGGCCTCCCGGTGTCCGCAGGCCCGAGCACCGCCGGGAGACGGCGCGGTTCTGGCGGGAGAACCGGGCGGAGGCGGCGCTGCGGGAGCGGTGCCTGGTGCCGGCCGAGGAGTACGAGCGCCTCGCGCGGGCTCTGGAGCAGGCGCTGGCCGAGCACCAGCGGCGGGAGGAGCAGCGCATCCTCCAGGTACCCGCGGCCGCCTCCCCGCACCGGCACCGCGCGGCCCCGGCCCCGCCGCGCCCGCCTCACCCTCTGTCCCGCAGATGGCGGCGGACATCCGGGAGGCCGAGCGCCGGCAGCGAGAGACCGTGCAAGCCGCGCTGCAGGTCGGTGAGCTGTATCCTGCCCTGGCGGGGAGCGGGCACCGGGTGCGCTCGGGAGGGGCCAGGGCGGCTGGCCGGGGCTGTGCCTAGCACCACAAATACTGTTCCTTCTTCCTGAATTACACTCAGCTTCAACCAGAGCCAGAACTTTGTGCAGGACCTTCTGTCTGCAGGCTCCCCGCAGGACCTGAACGGTGAGCACCACTTTCTTTAGCAGTGGCTGATGCATCTGTGCTCAAAGCACCCGACACTGTCATTACCAGGGTCTTGCAAAGCTTTTGAAAACTTCTGTATGCACTACAGTAAGTGCTGGCCTCTTATTTCAGGGACAGCCCTTGTGGTGCAGAACAGCCTGGCCCGAGCGGAATGCAGACAGGACCTGATTTAGCCTGGATGGAATCGGGCAAGGTTCTGACCTTCATTGGCCACCAGGTAGGGGTGACTGGCTAGCAAACGTGACTTCAATTTCACTGCAAGTCACCTACAGCACATGTCACAAAGCAGAACAAGGGGTGGTCTCCATCACAAAAAGAAACACTTTGTGGATTTGGGCGAGCAGCTAGCCCAGTTTCAGTTTAACTTTCATTAAGCAAACATTCTTTAATATGCTGTGGGGAAAAAAAACAAACTCTCTTTTAAAGAACAGAAGAGCTTTCCTCTCTGCCTTTTTCTAACAGAACTTGACTCTGGAAGGGAATGAAGACAATGCTCTTTTGCTCAGAGATACTCCTAAACATAAAGATTCTCATAAGTATTTTATGTTCCTGTTAACAGGAAACAAAAGGGAAAGGAAATGTCCACACAGGTAAGTGTACCTGCATGATGACTTGCAAATGTCACAGGAAAAACTGGAAGCAGTTGCAGCATAACCAGGAGGTGGCCACTCTTGGCAATATCCCACGTAGTGAAGAAAACACATCAGCATAGTAAAAACTTGTTGCCATTTTGTTGCACAGCTGTAACTCCTTAGGGGTGAGATTACCTTCACCACTGTCTCTATTCTCCTGCATTCTATCTATCCACAAAAACCGTTGATGCTGCTGCTGTGGGGAGTGCATGATTTGGGATGTGATCTGCCGTGGCCAGCTCTTTTTTTCTCAGAACACCCAGAGTTCACCTGGTCACTTGCTTGGTAGCATGAGCAGCAGACAGGAGGAAGAGGGGGCCCTTTTATTCTGTCACAGTTTAGGTTAACTTCAGTGGCTAAGTAAGTGTTCCCTGTGACTTCTAGGAGCAAAACCTCCATGGCTAACAGAGGAAGAAGATGGAAGTAAAGAAATTGGACCTTCCTATGAGGAATTTCTCAAACACAGTGAGCAGCTTGCACATCTTTTAGTTAACTTTACAGTCACTTTAACATGCTAGAGAACCAAAATCAATTTGAAAAACTTTTGCTGAAAAAATATTTGGGCTTTTGAGCATCCTGGTCTAGGGGAAAGTATCCCTATCTGCATACAGGGGGTTGCAGCAAAGGGATCCTTAAGCTCCCTTCCAACCCAAACCACTCCACAATTCTATTTTTATTTTCAGAGGAGAAGCAGAAGCTGAAAAAGCTCCCAGTGGAACGTGTTGGTGCCAACTTTGACCATAGCTCTCAGACAAGTGACAGCTGGCTCCCTTCCTTTGGGCGCGTCTGGAACCACGGCAGGAGGTGGCAGTCCCGGTGAGCTGCAGATGGATCCCGGGGGGACAGGGGGGTTTCTGTCCATGCAAGCCATTCATGGAGAAGGCTCTGAGGTAGCAGCAAACATAACTGGACATCCTGCCACACAGTGCTCGAGGCAGGCAGAGTATCATTCTTGTCCTGGAGCAGCACCAGGAAGCGTGCTCATGGCTGTAAAGGCTGCACATGTGAAGGCATCTGCCTTGTTTTGCTTGGCTCACCTTTCAGACCCACATACTGTCCCACTGGCACCTTTTACTGTGCCAGAACTCTCTGTCAGCTAGCTGGAGCTACCTCTCACGGAGGTAACAAAAATATCGAGGGAGCTTCTGTGCTGGAACACTGTGCACAGCACTGTCTGTCTCCAAGGAGTGTTCATTGTCTAAAGGCTACTGCAGTCTGACTTCTATGCTCTCTTTCAGGCATCAGTTCAGAACTGAATCAGGGGAAAAGAAGAAGAAAAGGTGATCAGATGAGGAACACCAGACACCCAGCTCTGCTGTGGAAAGGCTGACTGTAGGTAGCTGCAGTTTTGTTGCTGACTGCCCTGTAAGGACTCGAGTGTTCATCTGAGCATCACATCTAAAGCCACACCAAGTCAGGTCCTGCCAGCAAGGACAGGCTCCTGTGCATGCCATATGTTCCCTGTCAGAAAGCCTACTCTGTACAGCAAGCAATGCCAGTGGCCTATGCTGACATGGCACATCCTGCTGAAGCAAGAATTTTTTGAGAAATAAACTTCTTTTTTTAAATGCCTCTCAGTTTTTAGACCAACTGAAACTCATTTCAAATGCAGGGTCCATCCTGCAGGCAACTAACGCCAGGTGTTAGATAATTTCATTCATACTTATATTGCTTTACTTCATTTTAACATTTATCCTTTAGATTGCCTAACATCACTAAATGCTGTAGGTGATGTAGAAGTTTCACACTTCCCTTTCAGCAACACATTTGTAACACTAATAGAGACAAAAAAACTGGCTGGTACAGTACAACAGCCACAAACTCTACCAGAATCCATAATAAATAATGCATCAGTAATGAAACATACACACTGTTGAAAAATCAAGAAAAATTATAATCAATAATTTTATTGTGTGCATCTACATATGACACATTGTTGATGAAGCCACTGAAGAACCTGCAAAGCAAGAAGTCCCCAATCAGAAAACAAGGTAAAAGCAGGCTAGCACAAAGCAAACAGTTGGGCAGTTTTATCCAGCAGGAACACTTGGCCATGGGGGAGCACGGAGGACAAGTGCCCATTTGCCCTGGAACCCTCAGAGAGGGGAACAAATGATGCTTTCCCCATCCAATGAGCACAGGGACAAAATCAGAAATGGCTCTTTAATTCCGCAGAGCTGATGTTCCCAGCAGTGTTCCCCCAGGAAGCTGCTTAGGATGTGAGCAAACTACTCTGGAGCGTCTGGAAGAAGAGCCCACCACAGCCACGAGGAGCTGCCCGTTACACACAGCCCAGCTGCTCCTGGCAGCAGAGCTCCGCTCCTGAGCACCCAGCCTCACCTCCCTAGGCGTCCTCCCCTGCTGCAGGCGCATCTCCACCTTTCGTGTTTCGGGTGTAAATCACCTGGGCTCGGTGCTTGGACACCAGTTTGATCAAGCCTATGAAAAAACAGAATTACATCAGTGTGCATGTACTGGCGGATGCCAGGGATGCTGAGGTGCCGCCTAGAGAGGCAGGGCAACGTACAAGAGGAAATAATAGGGGGTACTCATGGGACAGTTCAGATGCTGCAGGAAAGCTGCTGGGCAAGCAAGGAAAACCAAACAGCCAATTCAAGCAGCTTTCTGGTTTTTTTTCAATTTCTGAGTGCTCACCTTTGCTGAGGAGCTCCTGGAGGGCAGCCCGAGCCAGGGAGCCTCGAATCTTCAGCCTTTCTGAGACAACTGCAGGTGTGATGAGCTTGTAGTTGGGCACTTCTTTGCACAGTTTGTCGTAAGTGGCCTTGTCAAACAGGACAAGGTTGTTCAATTTGTCTCTCACTTTCCCCTTGGACCACTTCTACTTGCAAGGAGAGAAAAAACAACACCCCTCTAAGCCATCTTGTAAGCAAGAACAAAAGATGCAACTAAACGACGCCCAAGAACTGCACCATCACACGTTTCCGTATCACATCCCAAACTAAAGGCCTAGTGAGATGCACAAAACTGCCCCTGTAAATGAACGTGCTGCGGATAATACCTACAGTATCTGAGACTACGAGGACTAAAGCCCCCTGTTGCTCAGGTTTAACACTGTAGTGTACAACCCGCCGGCAGATGAAGAGCTCTTTTACCGCGAGCCCGCCCCGCTCCCGCGCCGCCCTGGGGCCCGGCCACGCCGCCCTCGCGCCAGGCCCGGGGACCCGAGCCCTCCGCCCGCCGGCTCCCACCTTCTTCTTGGCTTTGCCGCCGGACTTGTTGACCGGGTCCTTGTCCTTCTTGGCGGACTTGCCCGCATCCTTCTTCTTCTTGTCGTCTTTGGGCGGCTGCGAGAGGGCGAGAAGGATGGGGGGTGAGCGGCGAGGCGCGGGCCCGGCGCCCCGGGCGCCTCGCAGGGGTTCCCGCCCCGCTCCGGGAGCCGCCAGCGCCTCTCGGGGGGCCCGGCCCGGCTCGCCGCCCGCCCCCCGGCCCGGCCGCGCTCACCATGGTGCGGCCGCAGCCTGCTCCGCAAGATGTCGGCGAGAAAGGAAGAGCGCGGCGTGCGGCGGGGGCGGGCCCGGCGCCGGCGCGTCACTGCCGGGGCGGGGCGCGGCCGGGGCGGCGCTGCGGGCGCTGCGCCATGGCGATCTTCAGCGTCTACGTGGTCAACAAGGCCGGCGGCCTCATCTACCAGCTGGACCACTACGCGCCCCGCTCCGACACCGAGAAGACGTTCAGCTTTCCGCTCGACCTCGTCCTGCGCCCGCACGATGAGCGCGTCGTCGTCGCCTTCGGGCAGCGGGACGGCATCCGCGGTGAGGCGGGTGGGAAGGGCCGGGCGAGGCCGGGCGTATTGACGGACGGACGGACTGACTGACCGACAGACTGACTGATGGACGGACTGACTGGCTGACTGATGGACGGACTGGCTGAGTGGCGGACGGAGCGGCTGACTGGCGCTGTCCCCGCAGTGGGTCACGCCGTGCTCGCCATCAACGGCGCCGAGGTGAACGGTCGCTTCACGGCGGACGGGAAGGACGTGCTGGAGTTCCTCGGTAACCCCGCCAACTACCCGGTGTCCATCCGCTTTGGCCGCCACCGGCTCTCCTCCAACGAGAAGCTCATGCTGGCCTCCATGTTCCACTCGTGAGTCGCGGTGTCAGGGTGGGCCGGGCTGGCGCGGGCGGGGCGGAGGGCGCTCAGGGCCTGTCCCCACAGGCTGTTCGCCATCGGGTCGCAGCTGTCACCTGAAGTTGGGAGCTCCGGGATCGAGATGCTGGAGACCGACACCTTCAAGCTGCACTGCTTCCAGACACTGACAGGTACCGTGGGGCCCTGGGCACCGGCACCCTCTGCTTCCTCAGGGCTGTCTGTGCTTGGCCTTCCTTATGCTCCTGGCATTTTGGCTCCAGGGATCAAATTCATGGTTCTTGCTGACCCGAGGCAGACGGGGATAGACGCTCTTCTCCGCAAAATCTATGAGATTTACTCAGACTTCGCTCTGAAGAATCCTTTCTACTCCCTGGAGATGCCAATAAGGTAAGGAAAAGCCCACTTTTAGTAACCTGGCTGCAACCCCTCATTGCTTTCTGCCTATACAGTAGCAAATGCAGACAGTCCTTAAGTAGCAAAACTGGCTGAGGCAAGGGGAAGAAAGCTATAGCACACTGCTGCAGAGAGGACACAGCTCTGAGCTCTTTCCAGTGCTGGTTCTGCCAGGGAAATGAGAGGTGCTCCTCCTTGGCACAAACCCTGCTGTCCTGCCATATATTCAGGCCTATACAAGAAGCTTTAATCTTAACTAAGCACCAAGTCAGACCTTGAGAAGCAGTCATGTTGCTGTGTCATAACTTCCTGAATCTCTCCCTGAAGGATGCAGAGCCAAAGGATGTGGAGATCCTTTGTTAGCTTTGCTAACTCACTTCCATATGTAGAAGTCATCCCTTTTGCTTTTGTGACTATTTCAGGTGCGAGTTGTTCGATCAGAACTTGAAGCTTGCTCTGGAGGTGGCAGAGAAAGCTGGACCCTTTGGACCTGGATCATAGAGAAAGCCTTGCCTGTTGAAGAGATTCATTTGTCTGAAGAGTGGGGCCTCTCCCTTCCCTGGCTGGCCTCTCACAAAGCTCCCCTCTCCACAGCAGAGACTGCACATCCCCAGAACATGCTTCAGTATCTCCCAGAATACCAGTTTATCCCCTTTGTTGTAAAACTTACCTTAAAGAGATTCCTTGGCACCGTTTACATTGGGCCACAGGGCCTTATTTTGCTGTTGCAGCTCTGCTGCATTTGGGTGAAGGAGAAGGTGCAGGACTGTGGCTTTACCACAGTCAGTGCTTTTCTTTCCTGTCATAAATGTACATATGTATTTTTCCTGTATAGCTCGAACTTACAGTCTTGCAGAGGGTTTCTGTGTAGAAGTAATAAGTGTTTACTGATGAGACAAATGGCTGTTTGCTTTCTGTTGCTGGGGACATTGGCACCTGAAGAGGATATGTGGATTTGGCTGGTTTTGCTTGCACCACTCTCCATAAGACAACCAGGGCCCTTGTGACACTGTTCCATTTTTATTTCAGATATAGAAGAAGATCATGTAATTAAGTACAAAATGTAATTCACTTTGATTTACTTAATTAAGGCTAGCTAACTACTCTTGCAATCAAGGTACTCAGCAAAGTACCTGCGTGCAGGTTCTTTACAAAGTGAACTTGCCTTTTTCAGGATCCTAAGACAGTAAATCCTTTTGGGGAAAAATAAGAGTATTCAACAAATTCCTGGTTAAATACCTGAGTGTATTTACTGCAGGGTGCTGTGCCTGACTGCTGAGGCTGACTCAGAGGCAGCCCGAGCCCCTGCCTGCAGCCATGAGAGACACAGCTCTTGACCAGAGCTATCCCAGTCTTCACACCCTGTACTGAAAAAATACAAGCCAATGCTAGAAATGTGGGTTTTCAAGAAACCCAGCTGCACAAAACATGGGTTGGTGGTGGCTGCTGTTGCAATTCCTGCTGCTGGGATAGTTCTGGCTGATTTGCAGAGCACTGGCTACGAGCTGCCTTGGCAGCAGCTGCCTGCCTTGCAAATCATTAACACTGCACACAGACATCATGCCGGGGGGGATCAGTTCACCTCCCAGAGCTTCTCTGAACGCCGTGAGTTCCCTGGAAACGTGCCTGTTCCTAAATGCTGCAGAGAGCCCCGCTGCAGCTCATCCTTGTCCCTCCCTCACTCCTGGAAACTAACCCCACATAGAGCTACAGCCTGCTGCTGTCACAGCTACAGCCTGCTGCTGTCAGAGCTGCAGCCCTGCTGCTGTCCAAGGCTGCCCTGCAGTCACAGCTGCAGCCTGCTGCAGTCACAGCTGCAGCCCTGCTGCTGTCCAAGGCTGCCCTGCAGTGACCATTCCCTGATCTGCTGCTGTCACGTGGCTGAGCACACACAGAGCTCGTGCTGAGGTGACCTGGGACAGCTGTGCTTACGGCAGCTGGATGGGACGGACAGGAGGAAAGGCTCGGTTCAGGGCCCCTGAGCAGCCAAGCTGAACTGATTAATGTCTCAGCTAATGGCTGAGACAAACAGTAATGACAAAACTAGAGGTAAGTGTACCTGAAGCCAGGCATTTCAGACCACTTGTAGTGGGGAAGCTTGGGCTGCAGAGCCTGCTTGCTTCACTAACAGTGCTGTGAGGAAGAGGTACAGTAAAATCATTGCAAATGTAAACTAAGTGAATTATCACATCTTGAGGGAAAAAGTGATCAGTAGCAGGAACCTTGTGCCCTCTGGCACCTGACACTGGACGAGAAGTTGAGACATTTTTATCTAGGTTGCAGCAATAGGTAAACTCACTCCTAGGCCAGTTAAACAAAAACGAGCATCATTCACGTCAGCGTGGGAACATCCTTTCCACCAAGCAGCTTGTCCTCAGTCAGCCTTCTTGGAAATCCGGCCCATCTTGGTGCGGATGTTTCGTAGCAAGAAGAAAGCCACTGTGCTAACAATACAGGTGACTTCAGCCACCCAGAAGGCTGTGGCCCAGCTGTAGTGCTTGGCAATTGTACTGAAAGGCAGTCCAGCCAGGAAACCCCCAACTGCAACGAAAAACAAACACAAAGCTAACAACACTTGTGTGCTCCCATGTTCTCTATCAACAGCTGCTTTTGCATATATAACAATTCCTCAGGCCTGGTTTGAACTTAAAGCCCAAAAACACCTGTTGGGCACAGCAGGAATGCATCCCTGAGGCTTCCAGCTCCATTATCTCTCTCCTTAGGTGCCTTCCCATGACCAGTAGCTTGGCACCTGGGGCTAGACCATGCTTCATCAAGAATATGCAGGGGTTTTGTTTGTTTTTTGGGGAAATGGGTATTACTTACCATTGGCCATGAGGGCCACAATGGCGTGGGAGGTGCCACACAGGTTGGCAGGGGCGCTTTCATTGGCTATGACCCCAAACAGGGCAATCGGCCCATACGAGGAGAACCCAAACACAGCTCCCAGAGTCAGAATCCACAGCTGTCAAAGTAAGCTAAAATCAGAAACAGGATCTGTGCACATCACCACTGTCAGTTAGCAACTGTTGATAATTCTCAGATTCTATACACAGTACCAGGGAGTTCTGACATTTTCAGGCTGACACCAGCTCCCCAGCCTGCTGCCACAAGAGCTCAAGCCTGCAGAGTCCCCACATTAAGTCCCTTGCATTAAGCCCAGCTGCATCTCCAGCACTCCACCTTAGTGGCCAATGCAAGCTCTCCTCCCTGCCACCGTTCTGCCCCCCACACCATGTAACACATCCTGTGCTGACCTGCAAGATCACCACACAACATGGAACAGAAGAGGGCAATGAGCCCATGAAACCACAGGAAAGAACTGTGAACCAGGCTGCTTTCATAAACAAGCCCGGAGCTAACAACTGAAAGCTTTTCTCAGTTTAGATGCATGGGACTGATCAGAGCATGTTTATTTGTGAGACACCTCCTTCTGATGACCTCGATGTTACTAAACCGAGAAACCAAAAAAAAAAAAAAAAAAAACCACAAAAAACCCCAACAGTCTGAACTTCAGTGTTAGCTTATGCTCTAAGAAACCTATCTGGCCTCAAATTATCAGTCTCTTGTTTGCACAACAAAGGATAAGTAACACCTCCACATTACAGCATGCTTTTAGAATTGCAAACACCATTTCAAAAAGCCCAGGAGGAAGTAAGTGCCATCTTATTTTCCAGATGTGAAACAGAAAGGAGTTAGGAAAACACTTGCCAGAAACTAAATAAGAATGCATCTGCCAGACCAGAATCATTCTTTCAGATCTCACCCACAAGACCTCTTAGCTGGCTATATTTTACCTGATGAACAGAGGTCCTCAGAACTTTCTTAAAAGTTACATAGTTAGGCTTTTTAAAGTCAGTTAGTGTACTCAAATTATTGTAAGAAAATGTTTCTTTTACCAAACTTACAGTAATCTCTTCTCAATGCCCTGGTTCTAAGTTCTGAGGTGCTAACCAACCTCTCACGATAGGAGTAAGGCAGACCAGGGAAAGAAGAAAAAGGCAGAAGGAGAAAAAATGCAAGCAGAAACCTCGTGTTCTTTTAGGCCTGTAAGATCAGCTAGAGGTTGCAAGGCTACAGTCCAGAAGTGGTTTTCCTGAAGAAGAAGAAAAAAATGAAAGGAGAAAAGAAGTTTTATTTATTTAGCAATCATAAGGGCAGATGCAGAGCCTGGAAGGCAGGCTGCCCGCAGCAACAGGACAGCAAGAGCACCCCAAGCCAGGCTAAGCCAGCGCTTCTGCAGAGTGCAAAAGAAAAGAAACCCTTGGGAATGGTGAAGAAAACAATCACGCTTTCTGTCATCAAACTCCCCTTCCAGAGCTACCCCTAGGGATGGGCAGCTGCTGCATGTGAATTACCTTGGGAGAGTCACCTGTGACTGTGACCCGGAACAGGAACATGGACACGCACATCCCGGCCATCATGGAGAGCAGCAGCGCGTGCCGGGGGTTCCCGTAGCTCGACAGCCCGGCCTGCGGCACAGGGAAGGACAGCAGGCACTCAGAAACTGCAGGGGCTTCCACCTGCAGTGACCAGCACCGTCCACGGCCCCGCAAGAAACGCGGATGGCACATCAACAGCACATCTGTTGGCACACCTCGTCAGCGTGGTTTAAGGGCTGCACACAGTCAAACTGTGCTAAACAAAAGCTCTCAGTGACAAACGACACTTCAGTTATCAACCACTTCCACCCTGAGTCTGGCTCCAGATCCTACCACTGGATTTTAATGTGGGGCTTTTTTCCAGCCAGAAGACAACTATCAGCAAACAGTCTTTCAACACGAAAATCTGGAGACCACAGTAAAGCAAACAAATTAAAAGAATAAACACCTCAAATCTGACAGGCATATTGCAACCCCTAACATCAGCACACCTACTGCCCAGCACCTTCTGGAGTGTTTGGCAGCTGTGCCCATGCACGTGGCAGACCTGAGCGTGGGCTGGTTTCTCTGCTGTGCTCACAGGGACAGCACCCTGCCTGAGTGCCTTGGTGAAGCAGCTCAGATTGCCACTGTGCTCCCTGCCCAGCATGCCCGAGGCTGCACTTGACTTACTTTTGCTACTGCTCTGTCAGAAAGGTATCCAGCAGCAATGCTTCCCACCAGGCCCCCAATCTCCAAGGCACTCATGTAGGAACTGCCTAGAACACAGACAAAACAAAGAACAGCCCATCAGAAAAGCTGCTGTGGGCTCCAGAGCACTTGAGCAGCTCTGCTGGACACAACCATCTGGCTCATCCTTGTTCAGGAATGCCTGTCTGCCAGTCCCAGGAATGCCCTGGCACTGGGGTGGCTTGGTGCACGCAGTAACTCCATCCCTGAGTTATTTCAGAAGCTGTGTGTATCCAGGCAGACAGCCAGGAGGGGGGCAAACAAGGCCCTCATGTGGAAGGGTCTCTACCCAGGCGAACCCTCGGCAACACCTCCCAGATTGCAGCCCCAGAGATTAATAATGCAGTTTTGCATCTCACCTACAAGCATGGACTGTCCCCTCTCTTGGATCAGGAAGAGCTGTCCCCAGTCAGTACAGCACGTTTTCACTCCAAAAACGACCAGGTAGCCTGTTGAGAGCACCCAGAGGTATGGGGAGAGCAGCAGCTCTGTCAAGGTGCTGTTGTCGCTGGAGGAACCTGTAGGAAGGTCGGGAGGAGTGTCACCACAGCCCAAACCACACCGACCAGCAGCCCAGCAGGCAGCTCTGCAGGCAGGATCAAGGCATGAGAACATCCCCACACAGGGAGGTATTCACAGCTGCTGAATGGTAGTGAATGGCTCTGCCTCCCCCTTGTTCTGGTGATTTCAGAATCTCTTCTGTCATTTTATCCCACATTCATTAAAGATTTGAAAAGAATAATCAAAACACTACTCCCAGTAATTTTCTGTATTACAGTTGCCAG